CAGATTACACTATAAGAGTGCCATTTACAGCAAGATCACTATTTACAATATGGTTACACTATAAGAGCACCATTTACACAGATTACACTATAAGAGTGCCATTTACGCCAAGATCACCATTTACACTATGATTACACTATAAGAGTGCCATTTACGCCAAGATCACTATTTACACTATGGTTACACTATAAGAGCGCCATTTACACAGATTACACTATAAGAGTGCCATTTACACCAAGATCACTATTTACAATATGGTTACACTATAAGAGCACCATTTACACAGATTACACTATAAGAGTGCCAAGATCACTATTTACACTATGGTTACACTATAAGAGTGCCAAGATCACCATTTACACAGATTACACTATAAGAGTGCCATTTACACCAAAATCACTATTTACACTATGGTTACACTATAAGAGCACCATTTACACAGATTACACTATAAGAGTGCCATTTACGCCAAGATCACTATGGTTACACTCTATAAGAGCACCATTTACACAGATTACACTATAAGAGTGCCATTTACACCAAGATCACTATTTACAGTATGATTACACTATGAGAACACTATTTACACTATGATTACACTATTTTATCCAGTACTGTTTTATCACAAACATCTGAAGCAAAGCTTACCATTGCAATAAGTCTTTCTGGAAGCTCAAATGCATTGGAAGTGAAGCTTCAAGGTTTTCTTCTCAAATTGAAACCAGTGCATAGTCACTGATTTAAAAAAACAAAATTTCTTATCTCATCTTCTCAATCACCCATCGTTACACTATGAACAAACTGCAGTCTATCTGTACACACCTGCTTAGCTTAGATACAATGGGGTCTGTTTGCCTTTCTCAACCAATACTTACAGCTGCAGGCTACTCAGCTTGGTCAACAAGCTATTTACACATCGCATACAAAATAGTAAAAAAAAAAAACTGAAACCAGTCAGCAATTTTGAATAACGTAGCAAGTAGTTTGATTTGATGCAGTTCCTGAATGTTGGATATGTTTGATTTTGATAAATTTTTAGTTTTAAAACAGACATCTTGAATTGAGTTTATGGAACAAAATGACATGGACCAAGGTACAATTATCTCCAATGTATGTACCAAATTTGAACAATATTTATTTCTGCATGACTGAGATTGAGTTTTGGAAATGTAGGAAGTTTTTTTAGCTATAAAATAGACACAATTTGGCCATCAGTAATTAGGATATGATTGATGCATGCATGTCAGAGATATGGTTCTGGAACATTTGTTAAAACAAGCCATTGACAATGTCACCGCCCCTTTCTGTTCTTAGACTTTAATATATGACAAATGAAATGTCAGTATTCACATGCTCCTTTTTGATAAAGTGCATTGATCATGTTTGAACCAAATTGGTTGTCTGAGAAAAGATTTCAGATATGCAAAACCATGAAATGTTTGGCAGTCAGCCATTTGGAGTCGAATAAAAATAAAAATAGGATATACATTAGGCACCAACATATGAAAACCACCATACCAAGTTTAAAACAAATCAGCCAAAGCATGTCCTAAAAAAAAGGCATTTTAGTACATATCTTAAAACAAATGAATGTCAGTCGACCATCTTTGATAGGTTCGTGAACAGATTAACTTTCATAGAACACAACACAATTGTCTGTGCACAGTTTGAACCAAAGTAGGCAGCAAAAATTTAGCATAGAAGCATCATTGTGCAAACAAAAAAAGACAATACATGTAATTGCTGATTTTCGTCAAACAAAATGGCTGACAGTCAACCATCTTGTATTGGATCAAGGGCGTTAGGCAAAAGTGTTACATTCTGCTTTGTTAAATAATGTAAATGTAAAGTAGGGGTACTAGTTACATGCCATGGGTTTCACGGGTAACTAGTTATTAATAAAATGATAATATTATGCGTATTATATATACGTACAAACTAGATACTGCGCCATTATTTGACAAGTAATGGATAAATTGAGAATAGCAGCGTACATGAGAGTTGTAAAGCACATTTAATAGCACTGCCACCAATGAATTGTGCGTGCTTCCACTTTATCATTGTGTGCACTTGGTGTTTCACTATAAACAAATTTGGAGCATATGTACCATCATGTATCAACCATGTATAGAGTTTAGGCAAAATTGGTCCATGAACTTGTGAGATAGTGTGACAGCCGAAACCGTTCCATAAGTCCTTACAATGTATCCATTCAGGGGGTAACAAAATGACCTATTTTGAATCACATCTTAAAAACTAAATGATGTGCATCAAGACCCAATGTATGTACACAAGTTTGAACAAAATCTGCCAATCGATGAGCGAGATCCAGTTCCAGAATGGCAGAAAAGCTAGATTTTGATGAATTTATCAAATTAAAATGACTGCCATTCAGCTTTTCATGCATATGCATCTCAAGGTATGTATGAAGTTTGATTGTGAACAGCCAAGGCATGTATGTACAGAGGTGCAGACAGACGGAGTAACACACACGCACGCACACGCAGGTGAAACTACCAGGGCTGGGCAATCTAGCACAAATAAGGCTCACTATATAAAAAAAATGCAGCCTGCATACTTTAGAATTATTACAAATAAAGGGAATTATGCAAATTCAACAAGTGGTGGCTATGCAATTTTGTTTTGTATGTCCAGGTCTAGTTATCCACCTTTGAAACTGAAGTTGAGCAAGAGCACCCCTAACTGTGATATGCAAACACAACATAAGACACCCTAGGAATGTATTTCCAGTACAAATAAACATGGGTGGTATTTATTCTGTACCAAGCACAGAAATATTTTCTGTCCCTTCTCTCTTCACAATATTAAATTACACGCTAATTATTAATTAGTACATACAATATAATATATTATGATACAACATGATTGCTTTATTTTGAGTGCATTTAGCGTGTGTTGTATCCTATCACAGTGTGAAAAAATATGTACACCCCGAAATATATAATGCAATATTCTATTTTCTGTACACTGGATAGCCGTCTTCCAGCAAATGAGAGGGGCAGTAACAACTATATAAAAGCATCTGTGGAAAATTGACATCTACAATACAGTAGGCTGATGTAGAAATGGATACTAATAAACACACTATTATGCAAACGAGGCCAAACTGTCTAAATTAAACTATACATTAACAATGGAAGTAGAAACCCATTTTATTGTAAAATATCTAGTTCATTAGTCATCCTCGTTTCAAGTATACATTATGTACAAAATTTCAAAATAAAACAAAGACAATTGATATGGACCCAAGTAAGTACAAGTATGAAGACCATATCAAATCTAAATCACTGAAGGAGGATTTCACAATAATTATAAAGTACTTGTAATATGAAATAAAAGGGGATCTTTAAAAAAACTGTTTACTCTTTAAACTACAAAGATACTGAAAACATGTACACGTGATTATTTTACTGGACTCAAAATTATTTCAAATAAGAATATACACATTTGATTCTTTGCAAAAAGGATACAGTGATGTGTACACTGAAGTGAAGTGGTTAGAGAAGATGCATTCCATTGGAACATAATTAAGGAGATGGTGGGTATACACTTGTACTGGCAGAGTTATGCGTCTTGCTGCGAATGCATATGTACAAGGATTGCAGTGTCCTGTGTATATGTGTATACTAGAGTAAGGATCAGATCAGATAGTAGTAAATGCTATGAAATAAGCAATGTATAAAGATGGACAATGAGTGAATGAAATCCGAGCTAGGGTTCATTTATATCAGTATAAACAAACTGCTTTACAGAGGTGTTCAGTTTACATATATACCTGGTAAGGAAGTTTGGGGGCTGCAAAAAGGTGTTTAGACAGGTACACCGTATGTTGAATGTTATTGCAATATTGATTTAAATTAAATAGAGATTACCCGGTAAATTGTCATCAAAATTCAGTTATGTATCCATGGTGATGAAAGGATTATATTCTACACCAATACATTTGCCACACAACTCTCACTAAACCTTAAATTGTTCATGGTGATCACATGGAACTCACAGTGAATAATGTGACAAGGGTTGTGTTTAAAAAAACATGCCAAATTTTTACCTCATCAAATGGATACAAATATCAGTGTGAATTTGGAGTTTGGTGTATTTAATATTTGTTTTGTACAAGGCAAATACAGTCAGGTCAAGATTTGTTTACACTTAAATACAAAATGGGAAAGTGGACCAATATTCTTTTGAAACCCTGCAGACAGAGTAGAAGAAAACAACCAGTACAGAGACTAGTGTGTTCAATGTAATAGGGGTGTAATAAATAGAAAAGGTGTAAAAATGAAACCAACAGTGATACAAATGACAAGCAAATCTGAGTGAGCGTTAATAATATTATGGCAAGTGATGATGTTTCATTTTAGAAAAGCTTTATAAAGTAATGTTGATTTCTTGGTTTCTTTTTCCTGCTCAAGCAGGAAAACAAGGTCCCTGAGATTTACACGTTTCACTCGCTTAATCTGAAAAAAAACAAAAACAGAAAAGCTTAGAAAGACTGTGACTGTGAGGTCTGAAAGCATGAATACATGGAAATCACCATGGTTACATACAGTAACTCATGGTTATACAAGTCTTTTGGTTATACAGTTTCTGCCATAGAGGGCAGCATGCACTCTTGACTAAAGTTAGTTTTGCATATATTTGTCATGACATAACAAACTACACTAAAGTGATAAACTCAACTGATCACAACGTGTATATTACCTGCGGCCGATTACCAAGTGATGACGATGAAGAACTGTTAACTGTACTATTATTACCTCCACCCTAGATGAAATATAAAAAAGTTGATTAGTTTCA